TTAGTTAGTTGAAAAGACACATATCACATCAGAAATTAGTCATTATAATTTAATCAGGATCTCATTGATATGAGTAAGGAAAGCTGACTGAAAGCCTACTTTTCAGTGCAGTTGAATGATAAACACTGGCATATATATATATATATATATATATATACACACACTGTATATACTGAAGGATAGGTACTTTTTTTTTTCCACCAAAATTTTGATGAAAATCAGGGGTGCGACCTATCCACTCAACATCAAAGAAAATCTGAAGTAGACTGTGGCATGTCAGTAGTCCATGCAAGTACCCTGGGCTCAAACATAAGCAAGTGGAAGGGAGAAAATGAATTTTTCCCAGCCTTTCAATTTTACACAATTGCTTTTTCCAACAATACTGCATCACATCGAATAAAAGTCCTCAATTGACACTGCCATTTATTATATGATTTACAACAAAAGATTATTATTTCCAAGTGATTTTAGGACTGATGAAGTTTAATAACTATATCTAAATGCATAAACATTTTTCTTATGTATTAATATATGTAAACAAAGTTTTGAAGTAAAGGTGAATATTTGAAAATATTTATCAAATATTAGTTATATTTATGTTAAAAAAAAAAGGGACCATGTAACTCCCCAGATTATAGTGTTACCTATCTGCAAGTCAACCACAAATACCCATTTTGACAACCCCAAACTAGGCGTGCGACTTATTCACAAGTATATATGGTATATATAGTTCTTTTGGATAGTATATATTTGTTCAGCAACATTTTTTTATACATTTTTCATTGAATGTGACAGATAAAAAAAATCTTATCAGTTTTTTATTAAATTTTTCTAATGTTCTTACAGTTTTCTTTTTTGAAGAACTAAGGATGTTCAGAAATTGTCTGTAATTATTATTACTCTATATTATTGATACATATCAAATAATCAAAATTAATACTCATCTGGTATTAAAAAATATGTCTTAAAATATGTTCCACTAGTGAATACTGAAAGGTAAAGAGATGGTTCAAACAAATCAATGTATGAAGTCCAAATTTATCAGTCAATGCAGTGAAAACATTCAATTTTCAAGAAAAACAAGTGTGACACTATAAAAATAAGGGGGTCATCTTTTTGACTAATCAAATATAATTATTTTGTTCTGTTGTTTTGTAAGTACAAATAAATTGTTCAACTAAGTGAGAAATAACAATTTAATTTATTAAATTAGCCTCTTAACATATTTGAATAAGAACCACCTAATAATAATCAATCTCCAAAAGTTCATGTCATTGAAATCAGATTGAAATTTAGATAGCTGCTGACCTCAACATAACTTAGAATCACACAAAAACGTCTTTTCAAAACAATAATATTTCAGACCTCTAGTGTCACAAAAGAATCATAATATATATTTAAAAAAAAATGATTTTGTATGTTATTTTAGTTGTCTTGCTTCTGATTTGATTATGATATTGGTGTTTATTGATCAAATTTACTGCCATTTCATCTAGAAATTTACCATCCAGTTGAAATGAGATTTGAATTGTATTTAAAATTTCTCAATGAAATTAAATCCTATTCATGTTTTCAATTATTCCTTTTCTATTTTTTTAGTATACGAGGAGAAATTTGAAGTCGTGGATGATTCAACCTTTGCTCGAAATATTGGCAAGAATTGGACATATGTAGCCCGTTGCCTCAATTTTACAGAAACAGAAATTCAGGAAATTGAAAATAATGAAAAAATACTCCGAGATTGTGCATTTCATATGATAAGAATTTATAGGCAGAAGCACAACCCACAAAATGATGAAGCTCTTATCAAAGCCTTGATGGAAATAAAACAATATGACTTGTTGGAACCAAAACAAGCTAGTTTTGAAGTGGAACCTGGTAAAGCTGATCCACTTCAAAGAAAGGACAAACAAGAAAATAAAGACAATAGTAAGCTGAATAATTCACTACTTCATTATGGTAAGGATGAACTCATGGAAACAATTATCAAAAATTAATCCTATTAAGTACCACTGTGGAAATAATCCTAACTACACATCTCAATTTTACTACAACTATCAAATTTCCTATTTTGATGTAATAACCATAAAAGAAAGCAGTCTTAAGAAGCAAATAAATTGAGCTGAAATGTGAGACAGACACTGGCAAAATCTATGTCCATCCAAACTGAAAAATCCCAGGAGAAGTCATCATGATTATCATAACTTTGATGTGTGAATATGACCATAATCTTACTTCCAGCAGACATAGGCAACACAAGCACAGTTCTAATCATTGAAATTTTATCTTTTACTCTCAAAAATGCAAAAATATCTCATTTTAAGGTTTGCCTACAGTGTACTTAAAACATTGTGCCATGTGTCATCACAGTGGATAAAGGCATTGGTTAGATCCAGTGACAGGACACAATGAGTGTGAGTTCAATATCTGGTTAAGGCAGTGGAGAACTTGGTGAGGTGAATTAACAGGAGAAAACTGATAACTGACATGGTACGTGGAACTAGAACAGTCTACCCCAGCGAGTGAAATAAAGGGTTCAGTTCAACATTCCAACCACCTAAAGAAGGCCGGAGCATACAACAGCTGAAATATTGTGATAAATATTGCAGCAAAGATGAGGACAATAGTTCGAATAATGTAAATAGTGTACTTAAAACACAGCATTACTAATCAATCTTTTCAGTTCCTTTTCCTTAGCATCTACCACATCCTGTGACACTTCTTTATCAGCTGTTGACAATAGATCATTTTTAGGATAGAGCAGATCATTCCATTCTTTAACACAATCCCAGTTCATGCATACTGTTGTTTTTCCACATCTCTTCAGGACATGATCGATCATGGCTCTCCACAACTTCCTGACGTTTTAACCTCTTAGGAAGGTTTGTTTTGTTATGTCTCCCAATCCCAATTCCACCATATATACACAAAAGTTTGTTTAGTAGATTATTTGCTACTTTCCTCTGTCTTTTGCCTTCATTATGCCCTGTGAGTGTCAAATTCTCCAAGCCCTTTTCCTACATTATATGTTGTAGAAATTTCAACTATTTCTGATTCTAACTATAAATGTCCTTTTTGTTTGCATTTTCCTTAAAACTTCCTTGTTACATGTTCAGTCCAAGGTATTCTCATTATCCTTCTATAGAACCACATATCTGTTACCTCCTCTCTTCTTCATCTGAGAGGAAATTGTCCAGTATTCACTGCTATAAAGGAGAACAGAAATTACATAGCAGTTCAGTACTGTTTATAATTAAATTTTCCTGTTTCTTAATACCTTATCAAAGGTATTTTTGATTATTCTAATTTACCTCCAAATTTCAGTGAGTTTTTCTATTTTCTGTTAAATGTTTAAATTTTTGTACTTTATTTTCATATCTCCAGTTAACATCTTGGATTCTTCTTTTTGCTGACAACCATATATTCTGCCTTTTTACTATCAATGTTTAGTCTTTTCGTCTTACTTTCCATTAACTAATTTATCTAGGAGTTCCTAAAGTTTCCTTTCTTTGCCTGACAATTAATGCAGTACTCCTTGTTTCAGTATCTTTAACAAAATGTTTGTCCTATTTCTGGTCTAATTCTAGTTTGCTTTTTATTCCTCAGAATTTGGATGAAAAGTTTTGTTATGTGGTTCATTAGGCTGACTGTATGAAGGAACTTGCATTGATTTGCACATAGTTTCTTAAGAATAGCTATGAAAATGGATCTACTAAGGTCTTCTGGTATGTCACCACTGTTGTATATTTGCTATTTCTTTAATTTTGTCAATGCTGAAATCATCTAAGGCTGCAAACATCACAACCCCATCTGGTCTTGTTAATTTGTTCCTGTTCAAATTGGCCAGTGTTAATTTCACTTCAGACTTTAATATTTTTTAGCCTTTCATATTTTTGTTTATTGCAGGTGTATTTGTTCCATCATTGAAGAATGTTCCTTTTATCTATTATCAATGATTGTGATTTTTACACATCCTGTCTTTGAGCACATCTTTTGTCATGTCATTTCTCTTGTCATGGGTTCAGGTGATGCATTGACTTTGTCTGAATGCCATTTTTTTTATATTTATTTTTGGAAGGTTAAAAGGGCATCATCAGCCTACAACAGGATTATATTACAAACAAAATCATATAGAAGATGCAATGATGCATTGATAAAAATGATTAAATGCTTTAGTATACATTTCAAAATGATTGTATATTTAAAAAAAAAAACATATATGCATGCAGAAATAAAGAAGTTTTGCTTATCTGTTGCTGACAACATTTTATCAGAGAACTGTCCAGAATGTCTGCTTCCTCTGGCAGTTGGAAAATGAAGAGAAAGTCTTTATTTTTGTTTCAATTGGTGGTAAAATGCTTGTTCTGTTGGGAACAATTTAGTAACTTTTTTGTTGCTATTGTCATATGCCCTATTCGACGAATAATTTATAAGGCAATCATGCGCCGACCAGGAGATATCTACATTATCACGTCTATGAAGAGATACGGGCTATCTCTCCTAGACCATGACAAATGGACAATTAGTAAACAAAAATATTTTAAAGAACACTGTTCGATTGGGATAATCGAACAGTAATCTTTTCCCAGGTTTGCTTTGGTTTCAACACAAATACTGATCCACAATTCAAGGATGAACAATAAGGCCTAATAAATTTTGGTATAAGAATTTTAATATATACATATACACAAGATATTAAAATAAAAGAAAAATATAAGCATGAGTAAAGCCTCCGACGACCAGAACCTCAAGACTTATGTTGGAATACCAAAATATGCCCAAGTGGATTCGACTGAACCCGAACGAATAAAAAAAAAAATAAGTATGAATAACTACGAATGCAGAAATCAACGCATAACCAAAAAAAAGAGATGGGATAGGATTTATATATTACTATTTTGACATGTGGAAAGGTTTTTGTAAGAACATAAAATTTATGGATGCATGTGTATCTTTCTAACACGGGTCCAAAATATATAGTTACTTATCTTTATATTTAGTTCTCTCTCTTACTCATTGTCCATTCTTTTCTCTCTCACGTTTCCTCTTTACTTTCTTTTTTTCTTTACACAAATTCAATTTCACACATGGTCCGGTAGCAACAGAGATATACACTTTCTTCTTCTCTCTGGTTTTCTCTTTTCTTCCTTTCTTCTTCTTTACACAGTTCAACTTCAAACATGGTCCAGCTGCAACAGAGATATATACTTTCTCCTTCTCTCTTGATTTATCTTTTCTTTCTTCAAACACAGGCTGTATTCTCAGCGTACAAATTTCCTTGCATCTTCTGTGATAAATAACTCAATTTATCTTCTTCAATCTGGAGTTAACGAACAGAAATATACATCCTTATATTTCTTATCCAGAGTTGCTTATGATGAATCGGACAAGTTCCATCATTACCAAAATGAGTCTCATCTTTCCGTTCATAAGTTATCAGCGCTTCGATTTCGTGTCTTGCTCCTTCAAAGACAAGACAGCAACTGACTTCCAAGTAATTTTCTAATTCCCACGTGTCCTGCATTTTGGCGCAAATTCCAATTCCTGCTGCTTCATGATCTTATATCAGTCCCCTGTCTAGACGTCTGTTGCTACGGTTAACTGGGTCAGTCAACCTCTTGACTTGCTTCCCCAAAATGTCTCAAGACTCCCACATGACCTCTTCTGTTGTCAAGTGGAGATTAACCTTAATATATGCGTGTTTGGGCTATTTGCATTCATAACACTATCACTACACTCTTATTCTTTTAGCTATATCTGCCTTATTTGTGATGCTCATTCTTTTCACTTTACACACTTTTCATTGATCCATTCCTTTTTTGTCTACCTGTCTGCATTTGTTTCTAATTTCTTTGTGTAATGTACTATATTCTGTACCATACTTTGGCATTGTTTGCTGTCTACTTTTCATCATGTTGAGAATTTCATCCACCTCTTTTACTTTGTGTGGTCTTGTATAAAAGGAAAATGTGACACCAAAATCTTAACAGAGGCATTCCAAAAGCTAAACAAAGTACTAAGAAACAAAAAATAAGTCCTGAACTGTTATGTAATATCAACTCTCCTATATGGCAGTGAATGCTGGACAATCTTCTCATAGATGAAGAGAACACTGGAGGCTATGGAAGGATGCTAATAATTCTATGGACAGAACATGTGAGTGGCAAAGAAGTATATTCAGGAAGAGACAGCTGAAGTGTCTTGGACACATAATGATGAAAGAGGGTTTGGAGAATTTCACACTCACATTATATATTGAGAACAAGAAGAACAGGGAAAGGCAGCCAGCCACCTACCTGACAAGGTTGTGTGAATGGATTGTGAAATGGGGAGTGGGAGGCTTGTAAAAAGGACAAATGTTGCCAAGGACTACGAGGGATAAAATGTTGTAGAGAGCCATGATCACCCACATCCTGAAAGGACACAGTAAAATTGTCATAAAATAAGTTGAAGCTTGGATATGTCATCCCCATTCAATACTAGTTGTAGTTTGTTAGAAGTTGAGCTGTTGTGACGCACTTGTAGTAAGTGCTAAATAATAATATCTATTCCTTTCAAATTTAGAAGATGAAAGAATGGAAAGAAAATTTTGAGATGATATGAAATTCTCTTTGGACCAATGAAAACCTTGCCTTCACAGAAATTAGCTCGTCAGCTGAGGAAGAAGAAGAAAAGAAAATAGTAAGTCTACACAAAATGCTGATATAAAATGAGGAGAAAAATTAAATTAATGAGAGAAGTGTGAAGTCTTGTAAAATGTTTTGTACAGTTCCCCACAACCAATGTTGAAGTTCTTCTGAGGGTTTTATTGCCAAAGTTTTCACAGTCTGTCAGGAGTACTCAAATTGTTATATTATTAGCAGAAACTAGTGATATATTCATAGAATATAGGACAGTGTGTCATATACTCCTTTTAAATAAATGATACAGCAGCCTTTTTACCCACAATGAATGTAATTTTCTTTTCCCCTAATTGTGTAGCTACTTCCAAAAGTGGTGGGAAGGTGGAGGCTATCACCATCCTGCTACATACATGCACACACACACACACACACACACACACACACACACACACACACACACACACTTCAAGTAATATTAAAATAATTCTTATTTACTTTATTTTTTCAAATTTGCACCCTTGATATTTGAGTTAGCCATAAAATTAAATTAAACATGAGGCTAAGGACAAATTTTACTGTCTATATCACTACAAGTGTGATCATTAAATTTATATCCTGACAATTATTAACTGAATATCTATTAAAACTTCAAAGGTACCATCAAAATGGATGCATTTTTTCCAAAATGACAGCAAAAGTTTGCAACACTGTTTTAAAATATTTGCCAAAAATCAGGAATTATCCAATTCAAATGCAATCTTCAGTACTCATTTATTAATAAATGAATTGTATGCTGAGTAGGTTATTTTATTAAAAATGCAGAAATATCTTTAGGGGGGTTTGCTTCATCCCCACCCCTTTTTGATATATTGTGCACTTTTTAATTTGGAGAATGCTCAAAATATTTTTAGTTATATAAAGAAAAATCTCTGAAGATGTTAGTTCAATAAAAGAAATTATACAATATTAAGTGTGAACATACTAAGAATTTATCCCAAATATTACTAAAAATAATTCAATAAAACTCAAAAATAATTTTTTTTAAAATAATTTAATATAAAAATTATTAGAATGGACAGGAAGAAAATCTACACTTAATATTTATTTTACAAAAAAACTTGTAATTTTTCAGTGTGATTTTGAAATTTGTCACAAGAGTTTCTTTTACTAAATAATGTTTGAAGAATAGAAAAATGTAAAGTTTAATGCTATTTCCGAGTATGAAGCTTTTTTTAAAAGAATTTTATTTTATCCTTTTAGCAATTGGAGCAACAGAGTGTCAAAAGGACAATTTTTCCATTGACACTGCTATTATTTTGACTACCTTCACTCCCTCAACAATGTTTATTGTTTTAATTGTAATAAAATCTAGACACAAGAAAGTGAATTTATACATTTTTGTTGTTTTATGAAAATTGACAACAAAAATAATAAATACTATTTAATTCAATAAAGCTCAAATAAATTTTTTTTTAGAACAGCATGTAAAAAAAATAAAATTGAAAGTTAAAGAAATACAATACTCAAGACATTGGTATTTACATTTAAAATAAATATTTAACCTCATATAGTTTAAAGATATAATTTTTTATTCTATACACTTTTATTAAAATTAGTAGAATGAATACTTATATTTTTTTGTACATTAGAAATAGTTATCTTTTTTTTTTTCTTAAAAGATATTTTTGAGTCTAATTCATTGCCTTTATTTTTGGCTTATTTTCTTACATATTTCATGCCATCCACATATATATAAAGTTGTAGCTTCTATCTGTCTGCTTGTTTGTTTTCAAACTCCTCGTAGGGTTTTGAAGGTAGACCCACATAACCATATATATGCTGAAACTATATTACCAAGGGTACTTGGATAAGTATATTTCATTTTGATCAAAGGCGGTCACCAGGAGGCACCCCACACCCCTTCAATTTAAATTAAATTTAAATTTGAATTTGAACTCCTATTCAAAATATAGAAGGAGAAATCCAGAAGATGGAGGTTACATCAGCAAGATCAAAATAAGAAAATATGGACATCAAGTTGAGCAAAAAAAAAATATCACCAATCAGTGGGTAGTGCCTTACAATATATATTTGTTGCAACAATTCAACTGTCATATCAATGTTGAAATATGCTCACCAATTCATTCAATCAAGTATTGCATCAAATACATATCAAAGGGGTCAGATCAAGCTATTTTTGCACCCCCTCCCACTGAAAAGTTTTTTCCCTTTGATTTAAATTAAATTTAAATTTGAGCAAGGGAACAGTATTATTGAGTAATATTGAAATGCATCATTTTTCTCCACAAATTATAACAATGATTTAAAATCAGTCATCATTTTCTTACAAAAAAATGTGTGACACGCAGCAAGGTGCAGGTAATTCAGCTAGTGTAAATATGTAATTGCATCCAATATGATTTTTTAAAAACAATTCTGAATTCAAGAAAATGTATTAAATTAATGAAGTTTCATCTGTAGGGGAGTTATAACTCTGAGTAAATAATTATAACCCTGCTAAGATATATACAAAAAATACTTGTAAAATTGAGAAACAGCAAGAAACATCAAAATGAGTAATATTACCTGGTTGTTATGTGGTGTTGGAGAAACAAAAAGACAGTAAAATTGTGAGTTTAGGGTCAAATGTAGATCAAATATGGATTGGAATCCAACAGAAAGATAAGAATAAGCAAAGATGTATACAGTCTTTCCCATATGTTTTCTTTTTTATAGATGTATGTAATGAGTCCAGATAATTTAGTTGGAAAAATACAAGTGTCTGTTTTTTTTTTTACCTCAAATTTTTGTTGAGTGCTAAAAGACAAATGTTACTATTATCATAAAGAAAAAAAAGAGATGAAATTTTTGTTGATGCACATGTTAATGACCTTTTATGTGAATTGCTTGCCTGATAGTGAAAATATCACGTGATTGTAGAAGAGAAAAGTGAGGTTGATTCTCATTGGTTCAGAATGAGCGAATTAATGATAATTATAATTGCTATAATTATTTTATTATTAGTGGGCAAATTACTTATTAGAGTGATTTGTAACATGTTTATTTATCATCTCTCCGTGGCATCTGTCTTTGGGCAGAGGGCACTCAGGGGCAACGTCAAAGGACAGAGTCGCAACGGAGGAAAATTATACTGAGAGGTGCCCAGCCCTAGGGAACAACTGCCTGAGGCCGTGCCTTCTTATTGCACTAGAGAGAAGGATCAGTGCACACACCAAGGCCAGCACAACTGACGGTTGCAGGGACTCAGGGAATTTTTGTTCCTTGCCCGGGTGTATGTGCTCAGGCTCCCCACATTAAATCAACCTTGTGTCACAATCTGACCTCATGGTGGGGTTGAGTAAATACTAATTTCTTTATGGACATGACACATCTAAAAAAAAAAAAAAAAAAAATGGGCAAAATAGGTAGTTATTGGATTGATAATGTTTATTGATTGTGTTCACTTTGAGTTCTTTCTTAATTATTCATTGGTATCAAAGGTGGGAAATCAAAACTATTTCTTTTGTATACCCGAGCAAAAATAATCATCAAACTTGGACTTTCGTGCCCAGAAAAAAAAAATGGAATGCCAAAAGGACGAATTTTCCATTGACACCATTATTATTTTAACTACCTTCACTCCTTGGCAATGTTTTTTGTTTTTAAAAGT